CGAATGCAAACTGCTAATCATCTTTTGCTCATTAAAGACTATGTGAGTCTACTAGGAGTAACCCTGCGAAGATACGGGTACCCCATTGATGCGCTGCTTGATGTTTTGAGCAAGCATAGGGATAAATACCATGAGTTGCTGTTATCGGACTGCCGTAAACAGATCGCCGAGGCGCTAGCAGCTGATAAGTTTGAGCAGATGTTGATGAGGAAAGAGTACGAGTATTCCATGAATGTGCTTTCCTTTCAAATACAAACATCGGATATCGTACCTGCTTTTCCTTACGTAGCACCCTTTTCATCAACAGTTCCAGATTGTTGCCGCATTGTGCGGTCTTTTATTGAGGATTCCGTGAGCTTCATGTCATATGGGGGGCAGCTAGAATTTTTTGAAGTTGTTAAGAAATATTTAGAGAGACTTTTAAGCGAGGTTCTGGACGGGGCTTTATTGAAGCTTATTAGTACATCAGTTCATGGTGTCTCCCAGGCGATGCAAATAGCAGCAAATATGGCTGTCTTGGAGCGTGCTTGTGATTTTTTCTTCCGCCATGCTGCACAGCTTTCAGGGGTTCCCTTGAGAATGGTGGAGAGAAACAGGAGGCAGTTCCCCTTGAGCAAAGCTCGTGACGCCGCAGAAGAGACGCTCTCTGGACTGCTTAAAGCTAAGGTTGATGGATTCATGACCTTGATTGAGAATGTAAATTGGATGGCTGATGAAGCACCTCAGAGTGGGAATGAGTATGCAAACGAGGTCATAATATATTTGGAAACTCTAGTTTCAACAGCTCAGCAGATATTACCGGCTCACGTCCTTAAAAGGGTCCTGCAGGAGGTTCTTTCTCACATATCAGAGAAGATAGTTGGGGCTTTAGCAAGTGATTCTGTCAAGCGGTTTAATGTGAGTGCTATCACAGGGATTGACGTGGATATCAGGCTTTTGGAATCATTTGCGGATAATCAGGGTCCCCTTTTCTCAGACGGGGATATTGATCAGTTAAAAATGGCACTTGCTGAGTCAAGGCAGTTAATCAATTTGCTTTTAAGCAATCATCCAGAGAACTTCCTGAACCCGGTGATCAGGGAGCGGAGTTACAGTGCCTTGGACTACAGGAAAGTAGTAACTGTATCAGAAAAGTTAAGGGACCCTTCAGAGCGGCTCTTTGGAACCTTTGGTAGTCGGGGAGCGAGGCAGAATCCCAAAAGAAAATCATTGGATACATTAATAAGAAGACTTAAAGATGTTAGCTGATTGAGGTCAGAGTTGTATGTAAGATCCTTACACTGATTATTTTTCCTTTCTGTTTCAACCCGTTTTTATTTTTATTTGAGCTGCCTAATATTATTTCCGAAATGAATTAAGGATAAAGCCTGCTTGTCACTTCCTTGTGCAAATCTTGTTTATGTTCATTTTTTGGGGTTCACCGAGACAAGTGCAAGTCATGTAATTGGATTTGTTATCTTCGCTTACTTCGAGTTCACTGAGAAATTTTTGAAGGCTGAAACAAGACCCTGCCAGATCCCGCCAGACTTCTGCCCGCAGAAGCCTATTATCTTCATCTGTGCTGAATTGTAACATACTAACATGATGCTTGTCTTGTGAGTAATTGCTGGTGCACGTTCAAGACTCTTGGCTCTCAGGTTAGAGAGTTCCAGATTTAGTTGGAATAGATTTCTAGATATCTGGTAGTCATTGTTTGGGCATTTGTCGCTTCTTGAATCATGCAATATACCATTTTGTTTGTTTGTTAACCTCTTGTCAAAACACACAGGATTGACGAATTTCCCGTGTTCTGACTTGTGCTTTTACATTGATTATTAATGAGGATCAAGAGTCGAGAGATATGTTGTATAAATTAAAGGCAGCGCACTTCGAGCTCTCTGGTAACCGTTTTGATTTCCCTAGGCTAGTGAAATTCAAATAGGCTTTTCTCAAACCCCCAATCCATAATTCATGCAAAGGCCTTGCTTGTGTTGAGCATGCTAGTCAGGTTTATAGATCAACACGCGTGCAGACATGCTGTTGCTAATAGTTACATGCATGTCACATGGACCAGAAGGAGTCGTAATGTTGTGTTGCTTTCTAAGTACCTTTTTAGTTTTTTGGGTTTATGCGTTATATGCTTGTCAGCTTGGACTCATTGCATATATGGCTGTGGAGCTCATCTCATCTGTCAATGCTTGTCGAGTGATTTGGACATCACTTTTCATGTTTTAATTGAAAATTACATATTCGATTTATGTATAATCATAAGTATGTTTTTTAACTGCAGCTTTGAATTTTTGAAATCGATGGTAGAGTAGGATTCCTCTGCTAGGAAGGTATAGATTTAGCATCATGTGTGGATAGGTCCCGTTTGGTATAAATTATGATGAAATAGGATGGAATATAAATATAGATGTGATATGTGTGTGTTTTTTAGAATTGAAAGACAAGCCTAAACTTGGCAACAAACAGAGACTACAGCGTATATGAGCCAGATAGAAGGCCATACGCTATGGTGGAGGGAATGAAGAAGGGGCTCAAAAATAATCATATGGATCAATACCTAGGGGCCCGAGGTAGGATGGTTTGATTGGATGTATTTGGAAGGTGCATGGGATGGGAATGAGGAGGTGCGTGGAGTTAAGTCAAAGGAAAGGCGGTGGTGGGAGTGGTTGTGGTTGTAGATTGGAGAAATGGGTGGGGCGCGTTGGCGTGTGAGGGCGCGTCGCCATCTGCTGACACCATGTTGCGATCACTCTCTCTCTCTCTCGCCCTTCACGCCCCACTCCTTTCCACCTCGTCGCCCCGCCTTTTCCCATCCTCCCCTTCTTCCAAATTCCACCGTGGAAGAGGTGGCCTTTCAGATTGTTGACAAATGTCCGGGCAACCTGCCTGCGCGCCGGAGTTTTAGTAAAATCTCTCTCTTCCCTTGAAAATTGAAATTTGGAAGTCTTTAATAAATAGTCTACGTATGATAAAAAAAAATACCAATACATAATTTAAAAATTAAATAAAGTCATAAAAATTTTCAAATTAATTCTTTTAATGGAGCACCTAATATTAAGGGCTGCCTCGTTTTAGCCAGAGAATTTAATAGAAGCCCGATCAATTTCAGCGGATGGGATGTGGGGATTAGTTTTTTTTAAAATGATTTTACGAGATAAATGCGTGAAAAAAATTGGTCTCAACTTACAAACTCCCCTGCCAGATAGGGCTAGAAAAACCAACAAAGCTCTTAAACCGAACATTTAGCGTAAGTTGTACGTTTTCAAAACTCAAACGCAAGACTTGTGGTTAAATTGGCTTAACTTCCTCCAGTGAAACCATGGTCTAACACTGGCTAAATTAGTAGTTTTCCCGCACAGGGAGAATGCAAGCATGAGAACGTGCGTGAGAGATTAAAATTATATTTTTTAATATAAAATTATTAATATAATCATTTTAATAACTGGGAAAATTCGAATTTTGCATAGAAAACTTCTCTTCTTTTTTTATTCTTTTTTTCCCCCCTTCCCAAACAGCAGAGAACTTGCCAAAGACTCTTGGGTTTAGTGGCACCAACCCTCCTCTTTGCGAGGGAGGTTACAGGATCAAACCTGTGCTGTGAAGGTTTTTTTGACCTGTACTATCATGTGAACTAAGTTTGAAAACTGATAGAAACTGCATGATCCAGTTGATTAATCTGCTGTTTGGATTTGTCAGCGGCTGTTAAATTTGGGTTATAATGAAGTCAAAATTTAAAACTTAAAAATGAGTTTTAAAAAATCAAGTGGGTTTGAACCTAATAAAAGGAAGGGAAAAAAAAAGTCTTGAAAAAAACTATACCACAAAAAATGAAATATTGAATCCTTTAGAAAGCCCACTTCATTTTAAGACCCTTCATCATATGCATTATGTAACGTGGTTTGATTCGGGATTTGTTGGCAAAAAAGATGTTAACACCTAAAGCAATACATAAACTTTTAACCAAACTTGGTCTATGTTTAATAAGTTATGAAATTATAATTTACGATATTGTTAATTTGCGGTTATGCTGTGAGATTTTTTTTTTTGGTATACTGTTGTGAGATTTTATTAACGCCTGGATTAGATTGAGGATTTTTACACATACAATCATATATCATCTGTTCCACTCTCAATCTAACTGGTTAAGAAATCCCCTATATGTACATTTTATGTAAGCTAAGATAAAACTCTTTTCACATACTTATCTTGTATTCTATAAATTACTATTAAAAAACTACTTATAAACTATTTTAAACAGCCGTTAAATTATAAAACTGTAGCTCGGTTGCGTTTTCCAGGTTAACTTCGGGCTTCTAAAACATTGGCCTGAACTTGTCACGAGCAAGTTTCCTGCATCAAAGTGTCCAGTCCACCCTTCAAAACTCTGACAATCGCCACGTGGTGCGGTAGTTCCTTGCACCATTGTTACTTTATTACTGCAATAGAAGAACAATCCGACAGTTTTATTCCCATAAAACACGAGCCATCGATTGTCAATTATGATGATCAAGTTCATACGCCCTTTCTACTGATCAACGTTCCAAATTAAAAGATGCCAAACATATAATTTTTTAATAAACTTTACCCTTTCTGATTTCACAATTTAACGGCATTACTTTTCATGCTTCCATTGGAAAATACACATTCGATTTATATATTAATTAAAGAAGTTAATAAAAGTACAAAAATATCTTCTAAAGCTGATACTAATATTATTATTATGAAAATACTCTTTTTTTCCCCCTAGTCTTTTCCAAATGCTAGTCACGATCTAAGCAGTGGTCCTAGTATTAACAGGGATTTGGTCTGAGTTTGAAATCCGAACCATTCAAATTTATTTTTTTTCATTAATATTTTTTTGAAAAAACTATATTAATATGTACAGAATTTATAATAAAAATCATCTCTTGATTATTATTGAAACTGTGAAAAATGGTGTTGTGTTTATCTGTATCAGGACTTTTGCGTTCCCCCTTCCCACGCGTCTGACCATAAAAGGCCGGCCTTCGCTAATCGCTGCCCTCAGGAGAGTCTTGGTTCTGAACTCTGAAGTGAAGCCTGAACTCTTCAAGAGAACCTCACTCTCTTAAACCCCTAATTGTCTAACCTAACCACACCATGGCTCTCCTCTGTGTGATTCCATCAAAACTCACTCTCTCCCTCCTCCCAATTCTCTTCTTACTCCACTTGTTCATCTCCTCCTCCGCTGCATCTACCTCCGGCGGCGACTCCCTGAGTGCTTACCAAGTTCTTCAACAATACAACTTCCCCGTTGGCCTTCTTCCCAAAGGTGTTTTAGGCTACGAACTAGACCGCTCCACCGGCAGATTCAAGGCCTTCTTAAACGGTTCTTGCGGTTTCAAGATCGAATCTTACGACCTGAAGTACTCGGCCACCATCACCGGCACCATCTCCCAAGGCAGGCTCTCCAACCTGCAAGGTGTTAAGGTGAAGATCCTTATTCTGTGGGTTAACATTGTCTCCGTCACTCGCACCGACGACGAGCTCGAATTCTCCGTCGGCATAGCTTCTGCGGATTTCGCCGTCAATAACTTCTATGAGAGTCCATCTTGCGGCTGCGGCTTCGATTGTCTGTCTATGGCTTCCAATCAGACTCATTCTCATCAAAGCTTTTAGGTTTTCTTCTTAATCCACTGCGTCCTCTTATTTCAGAAATGTGGTGTTTGCTAAAATAAGATCCAATAGTTTGAACTTGTGATATGTGCGAGGACAGTGCGTGGAAGTGGGTATTTCTGGTTTAGAATAGGGACAACCGGAATCAACTCGTCTTTAGGCGGTTAGGCTGAGGAATAAGATTGATGGACTCTACAGTTCTTAGATCTACTTACTCTGATGTTTAATAACAGTAATAATTAGTTTAATACTTACCGTATTTAGTTAATTGTGAATTGTTGCACGCGTGATGCTGCCATGCGATTTTTCTGGGTGACGTCTCTGCAGGGAGAGTCGTTCGGCTCTTTCTGCGTTGAAATGTTCGCAGACCAACGAAAAAATGTGCGGGTGGAAAATAATTGCCATCCACGTCTTGCACAAGACAATGCGTGGGCCAAACGTGGGTTGATGGTTTGAAGATAAATACTTTTTTTGGATCAGCTTTTTATCTATCTGACTTGTGGGGAAAAGCACGGTACCACCAAAGCTAAAAAATCCAGCGGTGGGTCATTCTACTGTTAGTGCTCTTTTGAAATTCTCACCAACCCTCATCTACCTCTCCTCTCTCACCTTTGGCTCCATCATCTTCCTGTGTTTTCTCTACCCATTCGCATCGCCTCTTTTCCCTAGCAGAGCAAGCCATCTCAAAAATCTTTTTTCTCATTACCTCTCAGAATGAAACCTGAACCCGTCTCTCTCTTATCTCAACCCAGATTGCCCATGGTAGCAGTCGCAGCAAGCTCTCTTAGATCCACCATCAAATTCCTGTCCAGCTGTGGCGACAAAATCCCCCCTCGCTACCCTGTCGACGAGCTCTGTTGTCTTGCCTTCCTATATTTTTACGGATATTTGGATGTTATTGATTTTTCGTCTTAAATATATTTAATTAACGAAAATGTTTTTAATATTTGTGTTTATCCATTAAATATATTTAACATGATGAAATGTATTTTCAAAATTTCGTGGTAAATTGGTAATAGCTATTTTTATTTTTATAATTTTGGTTTTAATAGTTGTCTAATAATTATCACATTATATGCGTATAGTGTAAATATGTATTATTTAATAAAAATCATATCATTTTTGGTCATTTTATTTTATTTAAACTCATTTTTAGATTAATCATTTAAATGAGTTTTAATTTTTTTAACTAAAACTTTTTATAAATATTAATATAGACATAAATTATATTATACTAATTAATTTTTATCTTACTTAAATGGTAAAAATTAGCTGGAATAAAAATTAGTTTTGCAGCTATCAATCCAAGCATACTTAATATCTAAACCCTCAATGTTGAAAGTAGTAGCTAATATCAACTCTTCTAGTAGGGAAATAAAGATACTATTCACTCCCTTCATTTCCCCCTTTTTTCCCCAACTATTCTCAACGTCTTGTCTTCGACATCTGTTGAGACGTGCGTCGCATTTTCAACTACCGAAACTCACAAAAAGTTATGATAATACAGTATTTTTTGAGACACTTAATTAATAAAAATAAATTTTATAAGCTAAGTCGATGCGCAACGTTGGCAAGAAAAAGGCCAAAAAAAGCACTAAACAGGGGGATGGATGAGGGCCGCCCGCTGCGCGTGTTTCTTCCATGGCTGGTTGGTGAACATTTGATAATTAGTTAATCACGTGTTCACCCTGGAAACAATAACGTAGGGGCATGTGGACCAACTAACTATTACTGGCTCATCATGGACAAGGAGAGGCAAAAAAAAAAAAAAAAGGAACCAGCCCGCTCCGATCCATCATACGGAAAGGGCATCGTTTTATTTCAGCTAGCTGGCCAATGCCCTCTGAGACCTAGACTATTTGCATACCCTCCCTCCCATTTTCCCTTGCGCCTGAAGCGGAAAGTCAAGGTGTCCTTTCCGATGTCGCTCGCCGCCTTTCTCATCGCGTCCACCTTTCTCTTCCTCATACCGCCTCCGCTGGCATCCTCGGCTGCGACCGGCGATGAGGCTGTGACGGCCTACGATATGCTCGGACGCTATCACTTTCCCAAGGGTCTTCTCCCCGAAGGAGTTATTGGCTACAACTTAGATCATTCGACTGGGAAATTTCATGCCTATCTCAACGGTTCCTGCAGTTTCTCTCTAGAGGGTTCGTATCAGCTAAATTATGAATCCACCATCAGTGGTTACATATCCAGGGGCAGGCTTGCCAGCCTCGAGGGTGTGAAGGTGAAGGTGCTGCTGTTCTGGTTCAATATCGTGGAGGTGGTTCGCTATGGTGATGATATCGAATTCTCGGTGGGAATCGCTTCCGCTTCTTTCCCTTCAGAGAACTTTTTCGTTTGCCCTAGGTGTGGTTGTGGAGTGGACTGTGATGACTCGTTATCCCCAGTAAGGAAACTCAAATTAAAACCCCTTTTTTCTGTTTCCTCCATGTAGTCTGATTTCAATATAGTTGCGGCTCCCTTTTTCATATTACCCCGCCCCCGGCCCCTCCCCTCTGATCGCTGTATTTAATTAATGGCGTCTCTCACTTATACGAATACGAGGTTCGATGCATTTATCTATCTCAATTACTAAAATGCCTAGTCACTACCCTTTACTAGTGTTTGTGGTGATTCTGATCACTGATCATATTTCTGCTTCCGTCTGAGGGGAATATTGCCTGGGCTTGCTAGAACAACGCTAAATTTTTTATCCATGTGTGTTTGCGTTTGGTATGCGTGCTTTTATTAGTTCCGATTGAATATTCATCACACTATGAGACGTAGGAGTAGGACTGGCAAGTTAACAAATGTTCTGTATTTGGTTTTATGGTTGGGAAATATCCTGTGATTGTTGGAAAACGGCAAAATCGGATGAACAACGCTAAACAGATGTCGCCCCCCCCCCCCTTCCTCTCTGGAGGGAAAGCGATGGCACCGACCTTTATTTGTTCATTATCCTCCGATGCTCTCGTTTTCTTATTTCCCTACCATTTGGTACAAATGGTTCCACATGCTGCTAGAATATCCCAGGAAAGCTATTGAATGGCGGTTGCTTTCTAGAAAGATTTTACTCTTTACCTCAATGCTGCACCCATTCTCAATCATGATGCCCCTGCACGCTCCTCTGAAGCAGAGACTTTAAAGGAGGGATTTTCAGCGCATGTCCATTTCTTTAAATTGTCTTTATGTCCTTGTGTGTGATTATATTGCCACGAATTGCTAAAATGCGGAAACTATATACCGCGAAAGTTTGGGTCTATCTGCTAGTTGTGAAGGGGTTAGATTGTGATCTGCCTTTCTTGTGCTGTCTCTTTTCCCTTTTTAATATAAGCTGGGAAGAACTTGCAGTGAATGACGGGACACAGGGAGTCTTATGGGGTACATACTTTGGTTCTCAACCCTAAAACTCATGTATCCTTTTCTAACTTTAGGGTATCTTTTGCTTCAAGCCTTCACCCACATATTGTCTCGCTGCTTATTAGCTGTGTGATTAAATTTGTTGTGCACGTTAATTTCGTAATTGGACTTAGATCTTATTATGATGTTTGTTATTAACGGCGGGTAATCATGGATTTAACTTTTAAAACGTTTACTTGTTTGTTTGGAAAGCACTTATCACGTAATTTGAAACAAAAGCTCATTTCATTTATTGACATAATATTTTATAAATCACTTATTTTTGAAGAAATCTACCATCATTGCAAATAAGGACTACATCTTGAGGTTCATAGGGAAAGAAAGTGAGTAGTAGACTAATTGTCTCTTGATATTTAGTCACTTATTAAATATAATGAATCACTCTAAAGGACTTAGTCAGAAGAACAATTATACTTTTTACAGAATAACAGAGTTGGTGTTATTTGGTTTATTAAAAATCTTGACCTTTTTAAAAATTAAGCTTTACAATTTTTTCATACGGAAAGAGTGACTTGTTGTATGGGAAGTTAATATTTTGAGGAAGATCAATAAGGTGAACGACGCAAGTCTTAATAATCAAATGTTACGGTGGGAAATGGTTCATCTTTTAATTCTACTGCGTTTTTGTTTTCATATTCATTCTCCTTGTGAGTTTTAATGCATGTACGGTACGCTTAACCTTCAAAATCCAGATGTTTGATTTCCAACAGAACATTGCCGGGCTTTCAGAATTTACAAAATGTCAAATTCTTTATCACTAATGAAAAATGTGACTTAGCTCAAGACACTATGAAATAAGAGATAGCATGAAAATTTTTTAGCGCCAGTGTGTCATGAATTTTGTTCGTTCATTTTTTGAGCCGTCCAATTCAAATTATTTATCTTTAATATTTTTTTGTCACATATGAGTATCTCTTTATTAGAGACAATCTTATTTGAAATACTGTCAATGGGTATTTATTGTTAAACTGAAACATTACACTTTTAATTAAGGGTGTGTATGGACCAAACTATATCAGGTTTGGTATCAACTCAAGGTCTAGTTCAATGACGATGTCAGGTTGTAAAAAACAGTCCAACCTTACTGTAAATGACAGCATGTGGTCTGGTCTGGTCTAATACTAACCTGAAGTCAGGTTGGAATAGACTTAATCTAATCGACTATCTGAACTAGTCCAAGTAATCAAGGACTTGTAGTTGATGTCCTGGAATACAATTGCAACGATTTGATGACACTCTATGTAAGAACTCCTACTTCTTGCAATAGCTTAATATTAGGAGTTGAAGTAGCTTGTTTGGGTGATAAACCACGAGAGTCAAGAAGATAGGAGACGGTGAAAAAATACCCATTGGAAGGGGTTGAATAACCATACCTTGATGACAATCATTGGGTCTGAACACAAATCACAAGCAAAATTTTTGTACAAGGAGAGAATTTTTTTGTGTGGCAAAAATTAACAATTTTTCAATCTTTAAAACACCTCCTAACAATATTTCAACGATAAATCAGGAAACAACAAATAATTTCCCATTGCTAGGTCAAAGTATGGCAGAACATTGATTAACTTTACTCCCATTAAATTTTTCATTGCTAGAAATTTGAAAACTAAAATACCAAAAGAAAATGAACATAGCAAAGAATGTGATAGAGCAACCAGTCGAACAAGAAATTGAAGGAGGTTGAGGAGAAAAAAGTCAACAGTACCTGGTGGCTATTGACCAACAAGGAGAGGAGAGGCGGCGATGGATTCCATGCTAGGGCTTCTAGTGAGAGACGAGCGACCATGGTGAAGAAGGCGTTGGGTGAGAGTTGAGAACAAAGAGAAGAACGAGAATGGAAGGGAGGCTGAGCTTGATAGAGACCGAGTCATTGACAGTGGCAACTCGTGAGTAGAGAAGAGGCGGAGATGCATAATGAGAAGCAACACTATGCATGCAACGAGTTTTGTGTGTGAGAGAGGAAAACGTGTGTCTAACATATGGGCGGGATTAGAATTAGAAACGAGTTCCATACAAATGATGATGAAAGCTCTTTTCGTGCAGACATGCCCTCTTCAGAACTCATCTTCAAGAATTTTACTAGCGGGCACAAACATAATATTTTTAAAAAAATGGGAATCAAAATTAAGTAATCATATAAAAATCATGTTCATATTTTAAAATATAATTTAGTATATTGCATATCTTAATTATCGGTTTATAATTTTAATTTTGAAATTAGAGTTTATATTTAAGGCAAAGAATAGTTTTTTTTTTTTCCCGGTCTCAGAGCAAAGAACAGTTCGCTCTGACTCTCAGGAAAAATAGAATTTTTTATATCTTGTTAAATGTTACTTCCCGGAGAAGCCCGCGGAATCGTGCAAAGCTTTGTGCTGGCAACGACGTCGTTTACAAGGAGGCTCCCAGCTTCATAAATCTCGTTCCCTCCTCCAAGGACTCTCGGGTTTCTGAAGTGTGCTCAGCACGCGATGGCCACTAAAATGAAGATCGAAGAGTTGCGGACCGAGCTCGCTCAACGTGGGCTCAGCACCGCCGGAATCAAGCCTACTCTGGTATTAAATAATTGTTTTCTCTTTTCTGCTCTGTCTGTTTTGATTGGGTAGTCCTTTATCACCTCTTGTTTGTGGGTTACTTCCTACAGGTCCGTAGGCTTGAAGCTGCTCTTCGGGAAGAAAGTGGACAGTCAGCGGACGATGGTCGCACTTCATCTCGTCAGAAGAGAGACCGTGAACCAGAAAATGAGGTTTTGGACAACTCTGATAAACTTGCGGCAATCGAGAAGTTCCGTGCAATGGGCGTTCAGCAACTGCGCGAAGAAGCTTCCCGGCGTGGAATTCTCTTGGTTGGGTCGAAGAAGCAGCTTCTGGATAGACTCTGTCAAGAATTAAGTAAGGGCTTGGACAATGCTAATGAAGGTATGTGCTTCTTCTCTCTTGCCTTTCGTGACCCCGAACTGAAGGAAGCTCTTGAGACTATTACGGATGCACATAATTATTCTCTAAAGTTTCCTAGTAGAACCAGGGCATATACATAGAGAACAAATTCTCACATATAATGTGGCTACTGCGGTTCCAGATGGAGCTGCAAATTGTGTAGAGAAGGAAAAGATGGTTACAGCAACCAAAAAAGGTGCGGCTGTTCTGGATCAATGGCTTCCAGATTACGTGAAGGCTCAGTACCATGTTCTGCAAATGGCAAGTGTAATAGAATAATTATTTTGCCAAGTAATTGCATGTGTTTTCAATGAGATGCTATTTTGAGGCTAAAAGCTTTTGTTCGGTTTGTTTTTAGACTGACGTGAATATATAATGTAGGCTGGTGAAATCTACGATGCCACGTTGAATCAGACAAATGTTGGAGACAACAATAACAAATTCTATGTGATTCAAGTTCTTGGTTGACTCTCAATCCCAGCTACAAGTTGATAATACTATAATATCAATTTATGAGATTAATTAGTCGTGGGAACATTTTCGTGATAGCCATAATTTTTCACAAGATTAGGCCTCTGCTATTTTTTATTGTTGTCAAATGCAAGCTCCGAGATGCAAAGAAGATCGTTTGTTTTTTCTTTATCAAAAACAAGTTCTGGTTTTATCAATAAAAATTTTTCTTTTCTGCTGTATTGGCTCACGGTCCCCCCCCCCCTCTCTGTTTTTTTTTTTTGGGCAGAATCGGATGATGGTGGAAAATTCCTTGTTTACAACAGATGGGGAAGGGTAGGTGTAAAGGGCCAAGACAAGATACACGGCCCTTACGCTTCTCGTGAAAGTGCCATCCAGGAGTTTGAAAGCAAGTTTTTTGCCAAGACCAAAAACCATTGGTCTGACAGGAAGAGTTTTGTTTGCTACCCAAAGAGTTATGCTTGGTTGGAAATGGACTACGGTGGAAATGATAAAGAATCTACTGTGAGTTATTGCCGCTATTCTTTTCTTCACATGACTTGATGGGTACTAAAGAATCCTCCGTGCCTATTTGTTATTTTTTACCCTTGCTCCCTCAAGGATCAAATAGTTGACTGTCAAGAAGAAACCTTTTTTTTTTTTTCTTTTTCATTCTGAGCGACGTGCTATTGCTTTCAGGCCACAGAAAAACATGCTTATGCGTTAGAAATGAAACCTCAGGAATCAAAACTTGAGTCACGTGTTGCAAAATTTATATCTCTCATTTGTAATGTGAGCATGATGAATCAGCAAATGATGGAAATAGGTTAGTTTTTCCTTCCCAAATTTCCCTGTAAGCAATGACCCGATTCATATGATCATAAAAACATGCCAAATATTTAATTGAATTCACTTTGGGTGATCATAACACTGATAGCAAAATCATAATCAATACTTTTGGACGTGCATTAAAACTCTTTATGATGTACCTTTAACATCCGCTACATTGTAACCTTGGAATGCTTCTTTTAGGATACAATGCTAATAAGTTGCCTCTTGGAAAACTGAGCAAATCAACAATTTTGAAGGTTAGTCTTTCTCATGCATGTCATATTTTCTCCTTTGTGCATGTTTGGTATGATTTTTCTTTAAATTGCTTATAGCATTAGACTCCCTCCTGTAACTTATCATGCTATTGATGTAATATCAAGAATCTACAGTATCGTGGCATTTCACTTATCAATCAGTCTCATGTTACTTCTTCCCCCGGGGTTGGGGTGGGGCTGATTCAAGAACGCATCCTTGTATGTAGTTTGTCTGCCAAAATAAGAAAAATAAAACCTCTTTGATATATCATGATTCTAACACTTTTTTTATTTGCTTCATTCTTCTTACGAAGATGTTTGAGGTCATTACATCCTGATGATGGTGCCCAGATAGATTCTCTGGTGTAATCACATGTCCTGTTTTTGTCTTGCTGGGCCCAACAGTTTTAAGTTACGACTTGCTTGCTATGCATATCCTCTCTAAACTCATGGAAGAATTGACTAATTATATTTCTATTTTCCAAACATATATAGGGGTATGATGTTCTCAAAAGAATTGCTGATGTGATTAATATTTCTGATCGGAAAACTCTGGAGCAGCTAAGTGGGTAAGATATTGCTTTTAAGGTAAAAAGATTATGGGGCGAAAATTTATAATTTTGAAGTACATTATCTATTTACTTCTTATAACTGATTGCAGGGAATTCTACACTGTTATTCCTCATGACTTTGGATTTAAAAAAATGCGTACGTTCTCTTGTTCTCATTTTTAAACTTCCAAACCATGAAATTTTCATGATATTGCTTGAGTGCATTATAGCCATGGGATGCTAGCGGATTAATATGGAACTATAAATAATTGCAGGTGAGTTTGTGATTGACACACCCCAGAAGTTAAAACGCAAGTTGGAAATGGTACTTCTATTTCCCAGTTATACATCTGGTTATTCTAGTTGCTCTTCACTTCATATTTTCCTTTTCTTTTCTTTTGGGTGGTGGATACCTTTCTATGGGCACATCTTTTTCCCCCCGTCTTTTTTCTGTTCCAGCAGCTTCATCTTGATGAATTGCAATGCACGCTCTTATTCTCCATGACTCAACTTCCTCCACTTCTGCAATTTTTTTTCGAAAAAGAAAAATATGTTTACCTGATGTTATTTAATGGTGACATTATTTGATTCTTTCAAAAAATTAAATGAAGGTTGAAGCTCTTGGTCAAATCGAGGTTGCAACAAAACTATTGAACATTGACGCTGGAATGCAGGTACTCTTTTTGTTTTCCTTTGTCATAGGTGATGGATAATATATGTGGACAACTTCTTTATGTCATCTTGTTTACAATTAAAAGTATCGCCATGGTACTCTCATGGTTGCCTAAGGTTAATGATGTAAATTCTAATTAGTTAACATCAAACACAACCTCAGGTTACTTAGGGATTTGTTGATTCATCCCTGGAATCCCTCTTTTTGAATGCGTAAGCTTTGTTTTTGATTCATCATCATTATTGTTATTCTTTTTGACATGAATGGACCAGGTAAAAGTTAGGTCGTATGTTAGACATTCCAATTTGGTTTTTTTTTTTTTTTCTCCTTGTAAAGAAATTATTTGTTCCTTTTAGTGTAAGCATTGTAAGGGTGCAGTGTTATATTTTATACTTAATTCTGTACACAAGTTGTGTTGTTTTGGTGTAGATTTTTTCCTGTCAATGAAGGTGCATTTCATTGTTGTTTGTTTTGTTTATGGCTTCCGCTTGGTTTCCAGACTAACATTTAATTTAAATAATTTGTTTTCTAGGATGTTAAATGAGACGCATCAATGGGACACTTTTTTTTTTTTATATAATAATTTTTGTTACCATATTGTTCTAAAATATGTTACTTCTACTTCTGGTCAGGCTTATGTTCAATTTATCATTTTGGAATCCCTGTAGGGTGACCCCCTGTATGCTCATTACGAACGCCTTCATTGTGAACTGCTGCCTGTCGAAGTGGATTCTGAGGAGTTCTCCATGGTATGAAATTGTGTTGATTATGGCATCTCTCAGGTCTGATTATGCATCTTGAAATTAAATATAGAATAGAGAAATAGAATTGGAGCATTAGGACCCGCTACTAGAGCTTTAATTCTGATTCTGAGTCCTTTTCTGTCATCACTTGTTGATGTCACGAGATTGCAAAGTATATGCGGAACACTCATGCTGAAACGCATTCAAACTATACTGTGGACATAGTTCAAATATTCAGGGTATCAAGAGAAGAGGAGGCTGAACGCTTTAGAAAGGTGAGTCGTGCATTAGAATTCAAGTTTCTTGGTCTGTAAATTTATCTGAGTTTTGTTATGGAATGTCTTTATCTGTAAATACTTACTCCATTGCTTTGCACTTCAAGAAACAGTTCTCTTGCATGAAAAATAGGGTGCTTTTATGGCACGGTTCAAGGCTCACAAACTGGACTGGAATTTTATCTCAAGGTCATTCTTTCTCTCATTTGTTGAGCTGCTTCTTTGTGTGTATAATGCTTAGATTTATCTTGGCTGATGCAATAGTAACCGAGATAACTGCATCATCAGGTCTGCGCATAGCTCCTCCTGAGGCACCGGTAACTGGCTACATGTTTGGCAAAGGAGTATACTTTGCTGACATGTTCTCCAAAAGTGCAAATTATTGCTATGCTTCTCGCACAGCTAAGGATGGAGTGCTTCTTTTATGTGAGGTTGTTTTTTGGTTTCATGGTGGACGGTATTGTAATACAAAAGCTTAATCATTAATTTCACCCCTGGGCATTGCTCGTCAATCAGAATTTGATAACCAAAATCGCACAAGTTGGCAGTTATTTTGCATCCAGCATCGCATTATTTTACCAAGTCTGAAGATATTTTATCAATATCTCCTTTCCAAAGGATCCATTTAGAAGAATGGATTGCTTTGCATTTGTCATTGATCCTCATTTTCGGGAAATACATGATTCATATTAAGTTATATATAGGTTGCATTGGGTGAGATGGTTGAGCTTCTAACTGCGAAGTATGATGCTGATGACCTGCCTGAAGGAAAGCTGAGGTTTGATTGTTTTGTCCAATGTAATTTGTTGTTGTCTTGCTTGTATTTACGCAATGCATTGACTAATATTTGTTAAGCTGTGTGAGCGTGCCTTGGTTACTCTTCCTCAAAAAGTTTTTTATATATATTCAATAGGAAAAATCACAAAAAAAGACCTTGGAAATAGAAAAATTGCAAATAGGGACCTATTGCAATATTAGTATGGGTTTTGACAACAATTTTTATGAACGGGTCCCTATATGCAATTTTTTAATTTTCAATGTCTTTTTTTTTGTGATTTTCCCATTCTTTTTCCTGCTAAGGTGTGTTCTATACTGCAGCACAAAAGGAGTAGGAGAAACTGCACCAGATATGTCAGAGGCTCAGGCACTTGAGGACGGACTCATTGTTCCCCTTGGGAAGCCCAAAAAGCGTGCGGGCATGAAGGTATGCACAAGAAGTATGACTTTCATCAGCTTGGAAGTATGTTCGTCATGTTATGAATACTTGACTTTACTCGGGGTGCCATCACTTTGTTTTGCAGGGTGATTTATTGTACAATGAATACATTGTCTATAATGTGGAGCAGATTAGGATGCGCTATGTCATTCATGTAAATTTCAATTTTAATCGAAGAACTTAGTAGCTAGATGTAATCGATAATGTATTCTAGTCATTCTCTAGTCACAACGGATTATAACCGTTGGCTTTCTTGTAGTTCAGAAAATTCTAGTTAAAAGGTTTCAGCAGCCTTTTCCTGTGTTATGAGTGTGTGTGTATGCACAAGGAAAGGGGAAAGGGGGGACGGGGGTTTGCAAGCTCATGCGTTTTGTGATAATCTTTAGAAGTGGATTTTCGTCTTTTGTCGGTTTTTAGAGGATGTTAAGTCTACAAACTGAGAAACTATTACTCTGCGTCTTCAGCATCTCCCAATTTTTTCGCTCCCAGAATTTTTGTTCGGTGATAATTTACGCCTTCCTGTTCGCTGGGGAAATAATGTCAAGTTGGTTATGTAGACATACGAGGTGGTGATATTGACCGCAGTTAGGATTGGGCGGCATGATTATTCTGGTTAAATATAGGCTTAGCTGTCCTCTGCATAAGTATTTGTTTACCTTGATTTCACGTATTAAAATATGATATCTTCGAAATAAGGCAGTATCTTGTTCTTGTGACAACGGATGATCAATGTGTATGAAGAAAAATTTGTAGGCGTGCGTTATGTCGTTGCGGAGTTTAGCCTTATGTTCACCGACTGACCTATGCGACAATATTGGAACATCTTCTGATCCAAAGTCAACATTTTGTTTTTAAAATTGGCTAATTTTGCGTACAATTTTTGGGCGTTGAAAAGACTGTTTGTGGCAAGATACTTGTGTGAGTGAGAGATTAGAGTGTCTCCATTCCTCTCGTCCTTTCGTTTCTATCTTAATCAGTTTTCAGTGAGAGTACTTATCATTTTGGCATCAGAGCCATGCTTGAGACGAGATCTTCTCGAACCCAGCCAGAAGAAAATCCCTTCACTGCAGAACACCTCGCTGCCATAGTTTCCAAACTCAACCTTGGATGTTATTTACCTAAGCCTTTAAACATTTAAGAGGCAAAAAAAAAAAAGAACTCATCAGATACTATTTTCCTTTTATAATTCAAGAAAGAAATAAAGATGAATTTGGACCCTCCAATTATTATTCCATCGCAATTTACAACGCATGGACTTGTCTTCCCTCGAAATAATTTTCATTGTATTTATGCTGTGTTACCTCTGCTTCACCTCTAAGAATACTTTAATTAGCGACTAACTTAATCCAAATAATATCATAGCAAGCCTTTGAGCATATAATTATGTGAAATATACACCACCTTGCCGCTACCAGGTTATTAGCGAAGAAAGTCTGGGCAGATTTAGCAAAGGCCGCCATTTCACTTGCCTTTAGAGCTGGTTTATGATCTGATTGGTATGAAATGAAGAACAGAAAAACCCTCTCCTGGACACCATATATTTTGAAAAAAATTAAGTTGCATTGCTATCTAGCAAACATAATGAAAAAGCTTTTCCTCTCCCTTACCCCTCTCTCTGTAGAATATTTCCATGGGTCCCAAAGGCAACGACGAAGGCTTTCGAGTTTTGACTTCAGATTCCGGCCAACCTTGGGAGGCAGCCGTTTTGCTCGGATAAATTGAACTAGGGGCTTGCTTGTGTGAAAGCCCATTGTCATTTCTTTTTAGAAAATCAAGACGGAGGAGGCCCACGATACATGGCATCGAAGGAGACGCGCGGACATTGAGGAAGTGGGCCGTGGGGGCCTTTTCAATGACTGGCAATCATTATTCAACACCTCATCACTGTCTAGTATGTGCAAATGACGGCCCAATTTATGGATTCTCGTCCGTACAAAAATCAAATTTATGCTTTAAGAAAGTATCGCTGCTGTTGTGCAATCGTGAGGATGGGTGATGAGCCCTAGGGTTCGTTTGATACGAGGAAAAATAAGAGGAGGAGAGAAGAAGAAAATTTTTAATAAATTTGATTTAAAAAATTAAAAAAGTGGAGTTAAAGCTTTTAATTAATTTTTATTATTCTTTCATATTACTTCTTCTCTTTATTAAAATTTCAAAACCTTATTTCTCAAATTTTTGTAAATAGAGCTCTCAAATTTTTGTAAATAGAGCTCTTAAATTTTTTTTTCCTCTCTCCTCTCCTCTATTTCCTTTATACCAAACAGAACCTGAGGATTAGGTTTCAAATACATCCTCCTCCTTTTGTTTTATTATGTTTAGTGATTATATTTAAAAGGGTGTTTGGATAGAAGTCAAACTATAGTTTTAAAAATGTTTTTACGGTATACGAAGTAAATATGTGGAGGAGTGTGTCTCGTTTTACAAAAAAACTTCTGAAAATCACTTTTCTATTTTGCCAAACACCCTCTTATACTTGTTACGGATTGACCGTGTACTCATTTCTTGTGTGGTTCTATGTATAATCTTCATACGACGTCATTTTTATTGGCAAACAGAGCGTAAAGAAATTAGTTTCCTTTTCCCCTTATACAACAGGTAACTTCGTGCAATCTTCTGGTGGTGCTAGAGAGAGGGACGGAACAAAATGTAGAACGTAGAGCACATGAATATGGTGTAGGAACCTCAGCCTCCGCTGTGGCCACAGATAGCAGAAGAACTCGCATTCCTGCCGTGCTCGTTTCGAGGCATAATAATATACTCTTCCGGTTTTAAAAAAAGTTATATAAGCTAGTTAATTATAAAAAATATAACATGTTTTTTTTCAAAATGTCATAATCATCTTTTTTAATATTTTTCCTTCTTTACTTACTTGATTATGGTTGAGAGAGTATCTATAAGGATAATTTAAGAAAAATTGATAAATATGAAAAATAAGTATTATATTTAGGACAAAAATTAACTTAACAATTAGGTTTTATATTAAAAACCAGAAAAGTATATTGAAGATGGATCTATTAACTCCAAATGACTTTTAGGGGTAACTTTTTATTTGAGGGTTTTAACGATTTGTGAACTGGCAACGAATCACATGCATCATCGAGCTTCCAATCCCAGCTGCCCTAACTAGCTTCCTCCACAAGGAACAAAGTTCCATTTTTCCTAACAAATGTTTAAAAGTAGTCACACGTTTAATTAAGTCTCCTTTTTTTTTTTTCCCAAGAGAAGTATGCATGGCTTGAAGTTCTGAGTTCTGACACTGCATTGAAATACGTCAAAGGCCTTTGGTCCCCGTCATATGATCGTCTTCCTCAGCTGCTCCGAGTGTTTTGATGGTATTTCTGGTTGGCATTATGCAATTGGACTCTGCCTTGGTAATTCAGGACTGATCAAATTCCTGGTCTTCCCATTCAGTACTAGTAGCTCAGGAACCAATGTTCGTCGTCCTGTGCTGCCATGGCCAGTGATTCAAAGACTTAGTCTCTTCCCGCCTTCAATGCCCACCTTCTCTATTTAATCATTCATTTTTCACCCGCCTCTTCTCTGTTTAATCATATTTATACCGCATTCTTTTCACCGCATATCGTGTGCATGTGTTGCGTGCTGTCTTTCTTTCTTTTAATGTACATATTATTTATTCCATTTGTTTTAAAACATCTTTAACTTTAAAATATTTGTTTTCTTGTGAAATTTTGAATATAATATTGAAAATTTACGCACTATTTTTGCTCTTTATCGGGGGAAAAAAATGACGACAGGCGGAGCAATCGCGGGTTTGAAAAATTTAAACTAAGTAAATGAGAATATTTTGATCGAATGTCACCAAGTTATACTACGACTTAAGAGTCTTGAACTAATTGATAAACGTTTTGATATGCGTGTAACTTTGACCTGAACATTAGTTATCTAATGCGGAAGAATGTTATTGAGAGGGGGCTCACATGGAGCGATGTTGCGAGAAGATGATGCTGTTCCTAATCACATCAATAATTGTCTAGCAATCAATAACTGTGGTGTGTGGCCCAAACACTGAAATAACATAGAAGGAGCACTCAGAGGCTGAGCTTTCGGCATCAAGAGACGACGCGTCTTGATGTGAATTGCATGAGACCGCGATTAGCTTAATTGGTGATGTGTTGTCCGCTTGGCATAAATATATACGCGTTTTATTATTTCCGGTCTTTAATATAAGATTCTAGTTATTTTTATTTTGGTTATACATATAAGATCCTCATTCATTTTGTCTCTTATATTTATACATTTTTTTTCAAGATAGTCATCTTAACAATAGTAGTTATAGCTAACACATTTAATTAGTAATGATATTTTAGAAGAGACAACACATGTTTATTACAAATAACTGACTTAATTTTTTTCTTTAATCTTCTCAAATTAATTTATGATTAGGACCAGAGATAATATTAAATTAAGTTAACAATAATATCTCACGCTTACGTTATCATTCCATTTCAAGGTTCCAAACTCGGCACGTTCCCAAACATCCGTTTCCCGCCTCAATCCCCTGTCATTGACTACGCGGTTTACTCCGAGTCTCATTTTCCTTCTTGGGGCTTGCCCACTCAAACAACTTTCCCCGAAATTCATGTCTACCAAGTCAAACACCGATTTGGGCTGTTTCCACTCTCTTTTCCATCCTCTTTCTTTTCATTATCTTCATTTTCTTTTCACATTCATTGAATCAAAATTATAATAGTTCACATTTAATATCTTATAAAAACAATATTATTAAAATAAATAAATTTAAACTGTTAAAATCTAATCTAAATAATTCACAACTGTAATAAAAAAAAATAAAAAAAATTTACTCTCTAATAGTAGTATGTAGCTATGAACTCTTTAAGTCAGATTTTAACAATTTAAATTTATTTATATATTTTTATAAAATATTATAAAATATTAAATCTGGATCATTGGAATTTTGATCCGATGATTATGAAGGGAAAAAGAAGGTAGTGAAGGGGAAGATGATGAGAAGGGTAGTAGAAAGAGTCCAAGTCCATCATATAAAACGGTGATTAGATAAAATTTTGAAGCTTAACACTATCTTCAGCATATTCTGAAAATTAATATCAAATATATACCTTCCGTTTTCAAAACTTAATAACGCTGTTCTAATGTTTTTACCCTTCTCATGGACTCGTCAAAAAATAAAGTTCAAACCTAAAGTGAAAAAGTAAATACACACATTTATTGTTTTAATAAAGTGCTACAAATTATTGATAACAGCAGGGTCTTAATTTTGATAGAAATGTTATATTTAGAGATAAAATATATATAAAATGTTTGAGTCCCAATTTTTGTAACCCCAATATATATATTTATTAGTTCTCCTTTTGTAACGTGCGGCTGGGACTCTCTTTCATGTTGGACCTTTCTACACAACATTCATATTTTTTTTTCCTAGAATATCTTCTCATCCGAATAATAAGAGACTAATCTCTCGGGATACTCTGTCAGGTACCGTAGTGAG